CGAGACGCAACTCGGAGGCCGTGCTGCAAAACTTCTCATACCCCATGGTATCTCCAGGGGAGACCAGAAGGGGGAAGAAAGAAAAGGGCAGAGGGGGTCTGGGAGGGACGACACGGCGCAGTCTCTTGAGGAAGTCGGGTGGCCTCCGTGGCTGTTCACCCTCGATCGCAGCTGTGTAACCACCGCCTGCCCTGCCCTGAGCCGGGTCTGTAACCACCGCCTGCCCTGCCCTGAGCCGGGTCTGTAACCACCGCCTGCCCTGCCCTGAGCCAGGTCTGTTCCTCCTGGGGCAGTCAGAGGAGGGCAGCACGTCCTGCCTGCAGCTACAGCTACAGGGAGCTACCGCTGCTGCAGCCCTCGGCAGTGCGGGATCCTCGGAGGAGTTGCCACCTGCCCCAAACAGCTCAGGTCCCGCACCACATCCTTCCCCTGCTTCCCATGAACCAAAGGTGCAAGCAACTTCATCTGTTTAATTAACCCTTTGTTCCTGCCAAAGGCAGCTCCGGCTACGCCGCTGGCCAACCCAGACCTATTGGCAGCTGAGGAGGCTGGAGGACTGTCCAGGGGTGGTGGAAATGAGGAGTTACTTGGAGTAAGGACCTCGCTGTTGCTCCAGCATAGGTCTGGATGGACAAGGAATGGAGCCAGCCCCGTGGGGTGGATCCAGACCTACAAGCAGGTGCAGAGGGCTTCCTGGGCCTGGGTGAGAAAAGACAGACAACAAATAGAGTAATAAAATATCTGTTCTAATGGCATAGAATAAAAAAGAGGAATATAGACCACAAATCAGTTTTACACCCCTTCAGCTGGTGGGCAAAGCTCCGCAGGTGGGAGCTGTGCCGTGAGCCATAGGAAAAACCTGTCCAGGGGTCCATCAATGCTGCCTCTGAAAGGGTGTAAGATTTATGTGCTGTCCTGGTTTGAGCTAAAACAGAACCAATTCTGTTCAGTGGTTTTACTTTGCAGCTCAGTCTCTGCTAAGAGGCGACACTTTCTGACGCTCACACGTGTTTGTGCAGACAGTGCCTGCTGCTGGGAGTGATAACGCTGGGGTCTGCAGTCGCTGCCAGGGATGGGGATGCACAAAGGCTCCGGCTGACACTTGCGCCTTGACG